AAATTTTACTTCCAAAACATAGAAAATACCTTCCAGCCTGTGACACCACGTATACGCCAACGAACCTGCACGGTATCGTTTTCAGAATGCATTGTGATCTTAAGGATGTCAAGCTTGACGTGTGCAAACTTCATATAACCAATGAATCTTAATAGTATCAATTCCTTCGCATAACTTATAAGTCCCCTGCAATATTTTTTAAGCATATTATGAGAAAATGAAATTACTTAATGCTAAAAACTATCAATTGCTTTGAATACTTAATAAAATTAATTTTCGTTACTCCTCTAATATTGCTGATAAAAATTATATTATAATAATGAATAACAGGGACTCAATTCACAATCATTTTAGCATAACTACAATATAAATTGTGCTACAGAACGTTTCCTCGTTCTTTTCAATTTTTACAATTTACAACACAGCATATACGTACATACATGTGCAATTTTGGCTACACCTTCCTTCTTAAAGATCTCTTCGGTATCAGCTCCCTGCGGTCAATATATAGCGGCAAAATTGTGTACTATATAGTTGAATATAAAATGTTCCTGCGTGAGAAAACGAGAGAAAAGGAGGACATTTATAGTAGGTAATGACACGCGATACGAACCATGCAATAGTGTTAATTCGGGATTGGGAAAAGAAAGAGGGGGTAAAGGAGAAGAGATTCTTATAATTAGAGGCACTCTGTAGCAACTCGTATTATCTAGCACAAAAGGACCTTTTGTGCTAGACAATTATTCCTCAACAGTGTCTGAGAATTATTATATTTTGAAGACGCGAGATTGTACATTCAAAGCATTCAAGTTAACGAAAGTAAAGTACAATATAAACATTCTTCGGAGAAATCTTTATTACCCGATAGTGCCTGTCACACGTGCATATAAATACAGATCACTTTCTCGTTCTCTTAACTTTTACAACTTTTACAAAACAACATATATACGTACGTGTGCGATTTTGGATACACCTTCCTTCTGAAAGGTCTCCTCGGCATCAGCTCCCTGCCGTCAATATATATTTCACTATCACTATCATCTATCACGCAGCGATGGTCACGACTCTGCCACTGTCACTATCTATTTTTAGGTTACCGTTGTATTCCAGCATAGATCGGTCTTTCTTAACAGCTTCATGCGTCTGTGATTGAGAAAGAAATCTGATAAGCTCTGTATACCAGCTCAATATAAGCAACATATATACGAATATGTATATATATTTTAGATAAAAACAGTCAGTAAACTTTTATAAAGCAGTACTCTTTGAAATAATACAAGCGATAATAATTTTTATAATTACCTCTCTATATATCTTAAATGTGCATGAATTTTCTTCTAACTATATTTGTAATGTCATCAACTTTTCACGCTTGTTGAATATTTGTGCCATGAGCACCAACAGCTAATCCCATCAGATCTTCTCGAACATTAAATTTATCGGTATATCTAAAATAAGGCAAATTTTACATAATACAAAAACAATAATTATTACTTACATCTGCTTATATATAAAGTATATGATTACAAAGATAAATCTGTATCAAAAATCTATAGTTACTGTAACGTATACCTTAGATTAGATTTGTACGAGCAAGCAATATAACTAACCTCGCGAGACACCACGCGAGCAAACGTCATTGCGTTAAAAAATATTAATGTAAAATATAATTATCCACATACATTATATACAATAGTGGATTATATATAATAAAAAATCCTACTAACCTCGCAAACACACCACGCGAACACACGTCACATCACGCGATACACGCGCGAAACTCGCCAAACTCGCCGCGATCTCGATCGCCGTCGTCACTTCGATCCTTGCGTGACGCGACCGAAATTCGGAATTAAACAATCGTATTTAATGATGAGAGATCACATTAATAATAATATTAACCTCCTAACGACACGACGCGAACTGTCACAATACGATTGATCACGACGCACACGCACGAAATTCGCGGAACTCGCCGCGATCTCGATCACCCGGCTTCGACCGGCCAATCACGCACGCGGAAAAGCGGCAACACTACGTGCGAGATATTTCGACTCGGAACGCTCACTTCTCGGGTAAACATGGATTTTTTTATTATAGAAAGGAGAATTAAGGCCGGTGTGGCGAAAAATGCCGGGAAGCGGCCATAGCTTTTGTTGAAGGCACAGTATATGTTTTTAGTCACTAACGCAAGCACCCTCTTCCTCCTCGGCTACGGTTACAGATTCTCAGTATAATAACGTAAATTCACTTACGGTATTGAATTACGTTAAAGTTTGATGTGATTTGAAAAAATTTATATTGTTGTTTGGATTTTAAATATATTTACATTTTTTGAATGTTTGTAAACAGAATTAAACAGAATTGATTAACGCATTTCGTAAAATTTAGCGTTTTTTCAAAATATTTTCCAAAAAATAATTTAATTATATTTTTTGTTACAGATATATTCAGATATTTCCTGGAATCATATCGTCGCTATAACAAGCACAAGATTGAAAAATTGGTAAGGGATTACCAAACGTTCATAAGGCAAAAAATCTCTGACATGAACAGAGTCACAAAACGCGTCGTAAAGACGACAAGTAAGTTATTATAGATTCATAATTTTTTGGAGACAAGAATAGGCAAGCTATAGTCACGACTTACTCTCAAGTCATGACTTACTCTCAGTGAAAATTTAGTTCATTAAAAATTTTAAATTTCGAAAACGTGACATAAAAAGTAAGTTATGGGCTCATGTGTGTTGTAAAAGAAACTATGAATAAAAGAAAACAAAAAAATAAAAGCGCACCTCCACGCAAATCCGACAGTAGTCATTTGAGCAGCTGTAGCAACAGCAGCAGCAGCATTAGCAGTACCAACGGTAGTGGCAATAGTGATAATAACTAATTTCATAATTTTGATAAAAAAATTGTAACCCATAAAATGAAATAAAAGAAAAGAAAAATTTAATTAATAATTTTTATTTTAATATTAAATTTTAACTAAAGTTTTTTAATTATTTTACTTTGCATGTGTTATGTGGAGCATAACCACTACAACATATAAAAAAGCCATGAGGAAGCCTGCTTTTTTATGCATAATTATTAGTAGATATTTATTAATTTGGCTTCCTCATAGAGAAAGCAATGTACAGGTTTCTACTTGCACACTTAAAAAGGTAATTGTATAGATGGGGGGGACCACCTTGGATGACCTTGATATTTTAGTATGTTGTCAAGGTCACC